TGAGTGCCTCAGCCTCCTCTCCCTGAGCCCTTATCTCCAGACCCAGCTGGAAACTTGATGTATTTATTTGCTTCTCCCAGGACCTCCTCTGTCTGACCCACATCTCTGCTGGTGCTGAAAGAAAATGACCTTCCTGCAGATGGCTGGCTGGTAGCCGGTGGGGGCTGAGGGAGGGAGTGCTATAAATCCTCCCAGCCTGCAGGGTGACCTTATCTGGGTAGAGGAGACGGTCCAGGAGGCTTAAAGAGGTGGGAACAGAGGTACTGGGAGAAGTAGCTGGGGACACAGTCACCTAGATCCTACAGGCACCAGAACCAAGAAAGAGAAGAGAGGGAGAGAAGGGATGGGAAGCGGGTGAGAGGGAAGGAGAAGGGGGGCTTCAGCACGATGCCTTCTCCTCTAAGGTGTTGGATGTAGAGTTATTTTCTTATTGAGCATTACCAATTTACAAAGTTTAGTGCTTTATGTTGAAGTATGCATTACCACCCCAGTTTGCATGAGACCAGAAAGGCTAAGCAATTTATCCAAGGTCACACAGCAGAGCTGGCATTCGAACCAGGTGCCCTACAAAGCCCATATTCTAACTACCACAGGGTACCCGCAAGCAGGGTACTTCCCCACCCCCAAGCAGACACCAGGGTACCATGTGGGCACTTCCTCCTTGGTCGGCTGGATTTACTACAGGATTGGTTCACCGTGGTGCCATCCAGGGGCTTCATGGCTGTAGAACTCCAGGTGAGTCAGCCCTTGGGTAAATTCTGCACTCTATCTGGGCAACAAATTTTATTTTTTAAGATTTTATTTATTTATTTTTAGAGAGAAGGGAAGAGAGGGAGAAAGAGATGGAGAGAAACATCAACGTGAGAGAAAAACATTGATTGGTAGCCTCTTGCACACCCCCAGCTGGGGACCTGGCCTGCAACCCAGGCATGTGCCCTGCCCGGGAATTGAACCAGCGGCCTTTCTGTTTGCAGGCCGCACTGAATTCACTGAGCCACACCAGCCAGGGCAACAAACAGTTTAAGGCAATCAAACGAATGACATTGAATTTCCCAATATAATTTCTATTACCCTTGTTGGGCTGGCTAGCTTTGTCGAAAATATCTGTGCTCAGCTTTTGCAATCTGCTTGGTTATCAAGTTTGGGATATTTATATTTATAGACTGATTTTAGCATAATCCAGGCAGCTGGTCTTTAGAGGATAACTCTGTGCTGAGTTTAAGGAAGTTCCTTGAACCAAGAATGAAAGAATGTTCCCCTCACTTGTCAGCAACTGCATTTTGTGAGGGTGAGTAGAGACTCCCAAACTTTGTTCTGTTTTAGGTTTTCGAGGTGTAGAAGCAGTTAAAATTCTAGACCCTTCTCTCAATAGAGTCGCCACAGACATCTTCATTCAAGTCCGAAGGGTCTGGAGCTGACACCTGGACTCGGGACACAGAAATAATGGTGTCACGGTCCTCCTCCCTCGGCCAGCCAGCTCCAGGCTCTGGTGCCAGGCTCGGGCCAGGGAAGCCTGTCTTAGAGACCTCCGCCCCTGACCCCTCCCACCTCCCTACAGCCTGGTCCCACCTTCTCCACTCCCATGAGCGGAGCCCCATGGGGGGGGGGTAGCACCCCCAGCACTTCTGGTGTGCATTGTAACTGGGGATAGGACCTCCCCCCAAACCATACATTCTTGACAGGGGCGATATTATGCCACAGAGAGTGAAACCTGGTTCAGGAGGGCCCACTGACAATCTTAGATATTCCAGTGGTTTCTGACCCTCCAGAGGACCAGAGCACGTGAATAGCTAGCTCATCTGTGTCAGAAAGAAGCCAAACGTTCTGTATTTGCAGGTGACAGGACCTTGTATGTAGACAATGCTAAAGAATCTGTGGTATATCTCTGGTATTTAAATGTTATTGCAGGGAGCCATGACTAGGAAAAAATGTCTTAAAAGGCTACTTGTGGAGGCAATAGTGCGGGGGGGGGGGCGAGGAGGTTTGAGAAGCAGTCTAAAAGGAAAAAAATTAAAATAAAGGTAAGTTTAAGTATTGGGACCAGGATAGGTTGTGAGCTTTTTGGGGCCTGAGTTTTGCATCCTATGAGACCAGCAGACCAGGTGGGCACAGGAACAAGGGAGCAAAAAACTGGCCCCCGCAACACACAGCAATGCACCTGGCAGCATGGGCCCCAGGTGGCTGCAGCCTGTACGCAGGCTCCCTGCGAGGTCGATCCCACCCCATATTCGTCTGTACCATGGGGAGGAGGATGTAACTAATGTGGGAAGCTTTAGAAAACCTTTGTTCACCCAAAACCCCAGGCGCTCTGGGAGAGCGATAAGGCCGTCTGGGAAAAGCAAACAGCAGTACAGTCACAAGGACTGGGGCTAGTACCCCCACTGATAGAACTAATTTTCACATTTAGCCTTTGTACTCTGCTTCTGCCCCATAGATAGAACTAATTACCGAATTCTGCTTCTGTATCTTGCTTTGCTACGTAGACGGGAAGACCCTATAGGCTATATAAACCCCAAGAATCCTTTGTTCGGGGCTCAGAATTTGGAGACTGACTCCTCTGAGCCCGTACACGTTAATAAACCTCGTACTCCAGAATCCCTCGGTGTCTGGTTGCTTTGTTTTCCTATAATGTAACCACACAGGGTTGTGGGGACACTAAATGAGGTTACCTGTGCTAAATGAGAAAACACCTAATGTCTAGTTTACCGTTATCTTTTAGTCGAGTTAGCTGGGAGCATTACCCTACCCTTGCTCCAGCAGGGGTGTCCAACCTGTGGCCCACAGGCTGTGCGTGGCCCAGAATGGCTAGGAGTGCGGCCCAACACAAAATCGTAAATTTACTTAAAACCTTTTTTTTTTTTGCTCTTCAGCTTTCATTAGTGTTTGTGTATTTAATGTGAGGCCCAGAGACCCAAAAGGTGGGATGCCCCCCCCCCCCGCTAGCTGCTGTCACTCCTGGTTTCGCCCCTCCCCTTCAATGAGCTCAAGCAGAACCCCTGCTGGGTGTCTCCGGAGGGGGATGCTGGGGTGGGGGGCACCACCCTTGAGGTGCCATATTTGGGGCTCTTCCTCAGAAACGCCTGCCCCTCTGTCTGCAGTTTCATGGGCTTTTCAGTTGCTAACAGGACAAATACCTGTGGCCCAAAAGTGACTCTAACTCTATTCCTAATTAAATTCCTAACTCCATTCCTAATCTTAATAATCAAATATGACCCTAAATTTGATAAAACCCCAAACCCTAACTTCAGGCCTCGCCCCAAGGCCTAACCCTGCCCCAACCCAATTCTAACCAGGGCCCTCACCCCTGCTCTACCCCTCACCCCAACTCCAATGGTAACCAAGAGTTTCCCAAAATTGTCACTATCACAGCCACCAGCGTTTCTGTACCTGTGCTCCTTCTGAGCTTGTAAGCAACTTAACAGTTGTCTTTAGACCTTTAAAGAATCCCATTGTAGAGTCATTCTGAGCAACCGTATCCCAGAAACAATTAACATTTAAAAAACGTTTCTCCATGCACTATCTACCTAGTGTTCTCTCTAATACCGCGGGAAGCAGGCACTCTAAAGCCCACGCACAACTAGTTCCCACCCACGTGGAACAGCCAGCACCTCCACAGCCCGGACCGGTGGGGCTCCTGCGCCCTCTGCTGGAGGAGTCTGGGAGCAGCTCTAGTTCAGCTCCGCTTCCCTCTGGGCAGGGTCCACAGGGTACTCTCTCTGACTTGACCTTTGTCGTCACTACCTGTGGGGTTCCCTTAATTGTGAGTGAACAAAGGTGAGAAGGGCTCTCCTTGCTCTAGGCATAGGGGCTGGGCACATAGGGTGTGTGTGTGTGTGGGAGGCAAGTCTGAAGTCAGAGAAGGAGACAAGAGCAGGGGAGGGGCCGTGCCTGCTGGGAGATTTAGAGTGCAGGGCATGAATTCTGAGATACAGAGTATTGTCGAGTTGGGACTAGGAGTCAGAGTGAGTCTAGGGTAGAAATAAGAGTGCGAGCGAGGCAGGCTGAGGCTGGATGAGGGGAGGGTGCAAGGAGGGAGCACAGCAGGGCTAGGTACCAGGTAGCAGCTAGGCGTTCTGTAGGTAGGAGAGCAAGGTTGGCTCCCTTGAGGCTAAGGCAATTTGGGGTGTGACTGAGCCCTTAAGCCTCAGGAGGAGGCACTGGAGCAGGGCTGGGCTGGGCAGGGCCATCACAGGAAGTCTGCTTTCTGCTCCAGGTCTGTGTGGCTGAAATGCCCCCTCTGGGTGTGCGGGGGGGTGGGGCACAGAGCCAGCTATTGTTTAATCACTCCAAGGAGGGTACCCCCGCTCTCCTTCCCAGCTCCCTCAGACCCAGAGTCCCGCAGTGACCTGCTTTGTGCCAGATCTTGTTCTTCACCCCCCTGAAGTCAAGTGCATATACTTTTTGCTAAGATCTAGTATCTGTTTATTTTCCTGTAACTTGTAAAGCGATAACACTGTCATCTTGGTTGTCTGTAAAATAAGAGCTTACATTTGTGAGGTTCTTCACATATGAAAGAGCTGTTGGGTTGGCCAAAACGTTCATTTGTTTTTTTCTGTAAGATGGCTCTAGTAGCGCTTAGTTGTTTTTAACTTCTCGTGAAACAATTGTTAGACTGTACTGTGACAGCTGTCCTATCAGCCTGCATTTAAAAAAAAATCAAAATTGGTGAAGTTTTGTGTAGCCATTTTAATATTGAAGATTGAAGAAAATACAGAACATATTTGGCATAATATGCTTTATTATTTCATGGAAGGTGAAAACACAACTGAAACACAAAGATCTGTGCAGCTCATGGAGAAGGTGCTGTGACTGATGGAACGTGTCAAAGTGGTTTGTGAAGTTTTGTGCTGAAGATTTCTTACTGGATGATGCTCCATGATTGGGTAGACAAATGGAAGTTGATAGTGATCGAGACATTAACTGACAAAAATCAATGTTATACCATATAGGAGATAGCCAACATACTGAAGTATCCAAATCGATGAAGTTATTGGTAAGAATGAAAAATGTGTCTTTTATTTTATGGAAAAAAAAACCATCCGGGCTTCTTAACAAATCCAGTATTTTCCCAGACACTTTATCCTCACTGGCTCATGCAGTGTCCTACGAGGTAAGAATGGCCCTCATCCCGCTCAGTCAGAGCCTGAGCCTGGAGCACCAGGCTGGTAGCAGGCCCAGCTCTCACGGTTGGATGGTGCGGGTATTCCTGACAGCATTCAAAGAAGAAGCACAAGTAACACATCTGGACTTGCTCTTGGAGACTGAAAACTCCAGGACTAGAATTTGGGCACCTGGGACAGGGCGATGGGGTTATGGGTGGTGGCAGTGGGCAAATCCTGTTAACTGGCTGTTCGCCCAGGCCAGGGTGGGCCACCTAGTCTGGGCCACAGGAATCCCTGCAGGCACTAGTGTGAACTTCAACTGTGACATCCAAGACAGCAACACATTAGCCACACATCGCTAATAGCCTGGGCCTCCCCTACCTGTCTGGTTAAGGGTCTCGCCACCTGTGGCTTCGGGACACAGACAGGGTACGAGATGACCCATCAGAGGACAGAAGTGAAGTTCCTGCAGACCTGGTGTCTGGCTCCCGTCTCCCTCTGGGGTAATCCTTGAAGCTGGCGCTTCCTTCCCTCCGCATGGTCCTCCCCTTTGGCCTCCAGGCCCACCCTCATTTCCCCACCTGGAATGGGGCGGGAGCGGTTTATATCCCGGAGGCCCTCAGCAGTGGGCCATGAGGGGCTTTTTGCTCAGCCAAGTCCTGGAAGGTACCCACGAAGAATAGCTCGCCATGGCCTGGAAGCGCCCCCTTCACTAGACTGCTTATGGCTCTAGGCAGGTGGCATCAGGTTTTGAAGACTCATGACTTTATTAAAGGCTGTGAAAGTAGAGAGAGGGCAGAACAGCGTTTAAAAGCTTTGATGAACTACATCAGAAGGCGGTAGGCACTGTGGAGCTGGGCTTGAGCTGGGACCACTAGGTGCTGCTCAGTCCAGGCCGGGCCGCCTTGTAGCTGCTAAGACGATGGCCGCCACAGCCCAGCCGAGGCCCCAGTAGCCCTTCTCCGCATCGGCCTATTCCCACCAGGCTTCAGAGGTGGCACCTCCTTTAAGTTGGAACCCTGCTTTAAATGCACTTGAGTTCACTGCTAGAGCTGGCACTCCCACCATAGTAGCAAGATCCTATGTAATCCCTTAGAGGGTTTTCAGGGAGCCCACTGAATGGAGGCTGAGGTGGGGGCACACAGACTTTGCTCCGGTGACAGGTGAGCCCGTAGAGGCTGGGGGTCTGGGCTGCATCCCAGTAGCAACGACCAAGGAACAGGGATGGGAGGAAGGGGTGACTCTGCTATAGTTGGAAGGGTGGCCCTGGCCTGCCAGTGTCCTACTGCTGGCTAGGCCAGGGCTCAAGAATGAAACCTTCTTGTCCACTCCCTCATTGGCCTGTTGTCTGGGTTTTTTTTAAAAGATATTATTTATGTCTTAGAGAGAAGGGAGGGAGAAAGACAGGGAGAGAAACATCAATGTGTGGTTGCCTCTTGTCCCCCCCCCCCACTGGTGACCTGGCCAGCAACCCAGGCATGTGCCCTGACTGGGAATCAAACCCGTGACCCTTTGGTTCATAGGCCAGCACTCAGTCCACTGAGCCACACCAGCCAGGGCCTGTTTGTTGTCTACTCCTAAAACCCTGGAATGGCACAGCTGGGCGGGACTCTGAGATCATCCCTGCCAACCAGCCATTCTATAGGTGGGGACAAGGGGGCTCAGGAAGGGGCCTTTCCCTAGGTCACCTCCGATGCGCAGAGTCGGGGTGAGGCCAGGATTTGCTCTGCTGCTCCGTCCTGCTTCTCCTTTGAGCAGCCATCTACAGGGCAGTGGTTCTGGAGCTCAGCAGACACCAGCATCACCCTGACAGCCTGATGAACTCAGCGGCTTGCTGGGGCCCACCCCCACGAGTCAGATACTGGGTGGAGGCGATGGGGAAGACCAAGGTGTGAGTCCCCGCGCTGCACAGAGCAGCACTGGGCACGAGGACATTCTGTGACAGGGTAGAGGAGGGCAGCGCAGACACAGTGACGGGCCGTGCAGAGAGGAGTCAGTGGCCTGAGGCCCAAAGTGCAAAGCCTTGACTATGGGGAGGTGTTTGTGTGGCCAGGAGGGAGGAAGCAAGTGTGGAGGGCAGTGGGGACAGGCCTGGCGCAGCAGGTTCTGTCCCTGCAGATAGGATGCCCTTCAGAGTTGCAAAGGGTCCAGAGGGAAATGAACAGAGAGCGAGCCTCCAGGGAGGCAGAGGCTGGGGGAACCCCAAGTCATGAGGGGCAGTTTGGTTCGAAAGGCACTTTGGGTAGCTGTGGGGCCTTAGAGAAGGAGAATTTGGTCCTAGAGAAGGAGAACTAGTCTAGACCAAACAAATGCCAGCTGAATATTAGGGACCAGGATCTCGGAATGTCGTGACGGGCAGGCCTGGCTGAGGGACGCCATCCCTCCCTGTCCCCCAGAGATGCCAAGTCAGTCATCCCCTCCTCTCAGCTCTGCTGGGAGGCCCCTTGGGCCAAGCTGTGGCTAGCCAGAGGGCTAGCGACGCCCTCTGCCTGGGCCAAGGCTGGCTCCTCCAACAGGCCTTTGAAGTAGGTGTTCAGAGCTTGCAGGTTGAGAGCAGACTGGGCATGGGGCGATGAGGTGGACTTCAGGTACCGGCTGTACTTCTTCAGGCCCCCCTGTGGATCTTGGCGGTGTGTGGTCAGCAACTCCATGAAGCTCACGTTGCGGAGGGCCAGGAGGCGGGCCTCGGCCCGGGACAGGACGGCCGCCTGCACCAGAGGCTGCAGGGACCCGAAGCACTGCAGGCTGCTGAAGAAGTAGACATGCTGGGCTAGCTGGGGGCCCGGGGAGACCTCGAGGAGGCGGCACAGGTCGCGCATGGCCAGCACGGCGGCCAGGGCACTATGTTCACTCATGTTTCTTGCCAGGTAGGTTTTGGCCAGACTCTTGAGTTTGAAGCTGCTGGCCTGGGGCACACGCTCCTGGATGAGAGGCAGGGTGGCCAGGAAGCCAGAGATGGTCTCCTGGAACTCCCACAGCTTGTTCATGCCCTCTAGGGCCCGGAAGAAGGTGGGGAGGCTGGGCCCCCACAGCTTATAGCAGGCCAGGATGGGGCGGTGCATGGACCTCAGGAAGCGGAGGAAGTGCTGTAGCCCCACCTCCAGGGAGACCGCCTTGGAGTAGATGCTGAAGGCCTCGGGCTGGATGAGCACACGGAACTTGCTCTCCTGGTTCACAGCTGCCAGCTGCCTAATCTCCTGGGCTAGGCAGGAGAGAAGGGTAGGGTAAGGCCCAGGGTCATGGGAGGCACTGGGTAGGATTGGGTGATCTCTAGGGCTGCCAACCCACTAGCCAGAGACTCCACCTTGGGGCCCTCACAGTTTCTACCTAGCCTTCCACTTCCTGCCCTTGGCCTCTAGTACCATCAATCACTTAGCTACAGCTAAGGCTCCCAGCCAGCTGGAGCCTGGGACAGCATACCTGCCCAATCTACTGTGGCCCAGAGCCTACTGTGAGGTCTGCAAGTGACTTCCCTGTCCTGCAGGAATACCTGCTGCTTCTGGCTGGCTGGGCTAGCCCCGAGCCGAGTCTCTGCCACAGGCAGGGCCAGGGAGACTGTTGCTCTCCCTGTGCAGCCCCTTGTGGGTTGGGCCTTGTACTCGGAAACGTGCAGTCACAGCCCAAGGCCTGGCTGAGCTGCTGCTCTCACAGCAACCTCCTGCCCGCTCTGGGTTTCTGTTTGGAGGCATCTCCACATGAGAGAAGTGCCCGTCAGAGGTGAGCTCATCGGGGCTCTGGGCTCATGTTTTCAGGCGCTGGTCAAGGCAGCTGTCCTTATTCAACCAAGCCGTACACCTGGGAGTCCCAGAGGAGACACAGTCCTCTGTCTGCCTCTTTTCCTCTCCTCCCGCCCCCCTGCCCCCCAGGTGCAGTCACTGGCCAGAGGTCAGGGATTTCCTGGGCCTTGCAGATGGCTCTGCCTGCTCTTATCTTGGGGACTTAGAGACCAAGCTAGAAAGGGGCAGGGATGGTCATCAGAGAACCCACTTTCGCTGTCAATCTTGAGGTCAAAGAAAACCAGGGGTCTGTCTTCTGACCGGAGGTCTGAGAAGCTGTCATCCAGGGCCCCGAGGGAGCTGGGGCCCTCCAGCTGCAGGTCACTGGACTCACTGCTGCTGTCGTCTGGCTCCCGGAAGGACTGCAACACAGAAAACCAGCCGGTCAGAGGCCGGAGGTCAAGCGTGTGCTGGCACGTCGTCACGTGTGTGGGAACACGAGCAAGCTGGTATGGCCCGGGCGTCTGCAGGCACACGCCCAAGGGCGTGCTCTTAGGGAAGGAAGGTGCATGTACAGGTCAGTGCACGTGCACAAGGGTGTGTGTACATGTGCACTTGTGCAGGCCGTGTTCCAGACAGTGCACATGCATTAGTGAGGAGGGGTGAAGGGATAAGATCACGTGGGCAAGTGTGTGTGTGCATCTGGGTATGCAAGGGGAGGTGTGAATTTGTGAACCTGTGTTGCCACAAGTGTGCTACCTGCAAGCACACACTTATGAGTGAGTGTGCACAGGGGTGAGTAGCGCTGGGTGTGGAGGCTTGGGGGAGGGGCAGCGCTGTGGAGGGGAAGGCTGGCGGGCCTGCCCTCACTTCATGTCTGAGCATGCTCAGAAGAAACATGAACTGGGGCAGAAGGACAGTCTCAGCTAGAACCCCGTATGTTTCACTGGAAGGGACCAGGAGCCTGGCTTTTGCTGACCCCAAGGCCAGACAAGGTCCCAGTGTCCTACACGAAGGGGAGGGGGCGGTTGCACGGCCTCCAGGACCCACACTGAGGTGGACACAGAGCCCGGCCTGGAAGCAGTGGAGGGGTAGCGCTCGGAGGCCGCCATGCAGCAACCGGAGCCGGCTGCTTAGGAAGCCTGAGGCTCCTCCAGGCTGAGCACCAAGGCAAGAACGATCTGAAAGGCCTCTGCTGTGGGGGAAGGGCCCCAGCCCCCAGGGGGCTGGGCCTACAGAGGCAGATGCAGCCTCTCATAATACAGAGACAGCTGCCAAACCCACATGTCGTCTTTGGTGGCCTGCTCAGAACCTCCTGTGCTTGACACCGGTGAGTATTAGCCAGACACCGGGAAGGAGGGAGGGGCATGGCCTGAGTCCCAGGGCTGGCTGGGACACCACTGGGACACAGCCCAGGGCAGTCCAGTCTTTCCTCCTATGGACTGCTTCTGACTGTTTGATGGCGTTGGTCTCACCTGTCCCTGGACTGGGAGATAAATAGCATATTTTCCTAGGCGCTTCTATTCTCCAGGTGAAACAGTTAATGAACAAAACTTCAGCCCACAGTTAAGTCATTACTAACCACAGATAAAATGTGCTGGATTTTCCTAGGAGTAGCTGAATTTTACGTAGTTTGCATTTCAAAGCCCCAGCTCAGGCTCACCAAGTTCCTCCCAGTCATTGATAGAAACATTCACTAGAAACCCACCTAGAGCTGGTTTAACTCAGACAGGCCTGTGGGCTCCAGGACTTTAGATAGAAGGCCCTAATAAAAGACTTTCTCAAATGCCTTGTGTATCAGCACCCTTGAGCTGGCCATGCCTCCAAGGCTGTTTGCATAACGGGCTCTGACTCTGCTGTGCTGTCCTGGCTTCCTTCCCTGCCTTGAAAGGAGTCTTTTAGAGCATCTTCCTTGAAGTCGACAGCTGGCGCCCCAGAGACTCCACCTTCCCCTGTGGGAGAACCCAGGGCCTCTCTCTGCAGCCGTCCAGAGCTTGTTCCATTCACAAGGCAGCGGTGCTCCCACACTTGGTCTCGTGGAGAGCCGGCTCCCCTTGCTGCGTGCTTGCCTGGGCCTCAGCTCTCTCTCATCAGTGGCCCAAGAGTCATTCCAGTGGCTGAATCCTCTCTGCCACCCACTGACATGGTGCACTGGGCTTTCCAGTCTTCCATCTTCTTTCTGCTCCAAGCCCAAGTGCAAGAGCCCTTGCAGCGGCCCCGGGGGTTCCACCTGTGTCCTTCCTTCTGCGTGTTTCTTTAGGCCTTAGAGCCAGAATCTTCTTTTAGGATAATCTTTTCCACATTACCTCCCTGGAGAGCGGCACAACTGCATCTTCCGGCCAGCCTCCCATCTTTATGCTGGGGTCATTTATGACGGTCACCAGAACTTAGAGCTTCCCATTGTCCTGGGTCATTTTCTTTTATGGTCATGGAAGTGTCCTCTGCCCCATACTTACTGAAGACTGTGGAGGCTCGCTTCATGCAAGGGCACTGCTCCCTTCCCGCTGAGCTTCCCCGCGGAGGGAAGCCACGTCTCCCAGCCCCGATTCCTCATCCTCCCATGTTCCTCTCACCCCTGGGGACTTCCACAAAGTACGGCGTCACTGTGGGGCTGGTCTCACAGGACCATCCTCCACTGAAACCCAGCCACCTGCAACTCGATTTCCTCACCCCGGAAAGTACTGGCACATTAAAAAAAAAGAAGAAGAAGAGGAAGAGAGAAAAAAGAAAAAAAGACTTTTCTAAAGATTTCATTAAAAAAAAAAAAAAAGAAAAGGTTAACAGAAGGGCGATCAGCACACAGAGGGTCTGAAGGATACCTGCACCAAAGCGGTTGTCCTCTGTCCTCTGGAGCGAAACACCCCCCCACCCCGCTCACTGAGGGAAACCCTCCTGTCCCGCCCGCCCCTCCACACCTCAGCTGACTCCACAGTCTGGGTCACCAAGGGGGCAGAGGAGCAGAGGGGGACGGTGCAAGAAACCACAACCCAAGAAGCCAGGAAAGGGCCTTTCCTTGGAAAAACCTGAGGCCTGCCTGGCTGGGAAAGGGGTGGGGGCAGAGGTGGCGTGGGGACAGGTGGGAGTCCCCGTGTGAGGACGGGAGAGCGAGCATCGGGGATGCATTCTGAGGACCTGGGGGAGCCGAAAGCGAGAGAGGAAATTAAGAAGTGCTGCTGAGTTATGAGTTGGGTCCCTTTGAAAGATGCAAGTAACTACTGGAATGTATTTCTTTTCATTATACTTGGCCAATGGACCGTGTTTCTCAGACCCATCAGCGAGGGGATCCAGGACCTTTTTCGGAACACACAGCCGTCTGGCTCACGGGCTGTTTCACTGATTTTCATCACAGGTCGGCTGCATCCCAGCTCAGCCCAGCAGGCCTACCGGCTATGCCAAAGGTCTAGGTGGCGCATCTAGGAAGACCCAGTTCTCTCCTTCCCCTCTGGGCGATATCCCAGGAGGTACGTGTTGCCTCTGTTCAAGGCTAATGCACACGTCTGAGCACCACACCTCTGACACGCCTGTGCCACCGAATCCCTCCAGTTCCTTCAAGGTTCTCTCCTCTGGCTCAGCATGAGTAGCTTGAAGAAGTCGTGATGCCCGGCCCCCACCCCAGACCAATCCAGTTAGGGTCTCTGTGGGTGGGACCTCAGAATCTGCTGTTGGTAAAACCCCAAATGACCGATGTCAGGCAGGGTTGAGACAGACTGACCTAATACTGAGTTAGTCGGTGTTCGGTCATCGGCCGGTCAGAGAGGAGCCCCAAACCTTTGATATTCGGCATCCAGTCACCAGAAGGTCTGTACCTAGTGTCTGACACTATTGCTTACCAAGAGTCCCCAGCTCCTAAGGGACTTTCTCAGCATCTAAGCTTCGGCAACAGCTGGGATCAGTTGGGTTAGATACACACGTTGCTGGGTTTTGCAGATACAAAACCCCAGTGCTTGCTAAGTCTGGAAAGCCCCAGGGATATCTCACCTGTACCTGTGACCAGGCCTGACCTATATCTGTGCACCCGTGGCCCCCCTGCCCCTCTGCAGGTTGCCGCCGCCCTCGGGAGACCCAGCTCCTGTCTTCCCAGCAAGGCACCTTTTTGTCTGACACGCTCGCCAGCATCACTGTCCCTCCCCTGGATCAGCTGCTCCCCACAGGCCTCCCTTCCACTTGTCACCACCGCCACTCTGTCACACCCCCTTGCTAGGCCCCCTCTGCTTGCACTTGGCCTTCCTGCTGCCAGGCCCTGAGGCCAATCATCTGCGGAAAGAGTGGCGAGAACACCTAGTTTTTCCCGCCTTGGGTCCTCACACATGGCCCGCAGCAGACGCACTGCTGACTGCAGGTGTCCACTGCCTGGTCGGGGTCTTGCCTCTCCACTCAGCTACTGCCTCATCGGCTGGGGCCGGAGGTCCCTTACAGAGTGCCCCTCAGGCTCACAGTGTCTCTTCCTGGTCCAGCAGGTCTGCACCAGAGACCCCAGACCGTCTACTTTCCAGCAACTGGCACACCTGCGGCCCCAGCAGGAGGTGGGGGTGCTGTGTGTGCTGGTGCCCTCAGAAAGCACAGGACAGTGTTCTCCAGCTGTCGCCATCGCCGGGAGGTCCGAGAAAGGCCCCAGAGAGGGGAGGACACGGCAATGCCCCCCCTCCCTCCAAGCTGCTTTGAATGCTCCAGGAGCACCTGGGGGACTCGTTTACTTTTAAATTTTTTTTCGGAAAGTTTGGGAGTCTTGTAATCGTTAATTTAAAAATGGTGGGTCTGGAGAATACCTACACAAAAACAGTTGTCCTCTGGCTCTCTCCTGCAGACCTGGTCTCAAACAGGAGCAGCCATTTCTAAATGTTTAACTCTTCATGACCTTCTCACTCCTTCCCTGGTTAACCCCAGGCACCACCTAGCTCTTTGCTGACAGCCAAGCATTAGACGGACCCTCTCACCACCCACCCACACACGGCGGTCAGTTCCTGTGCTTGGCTCTCAGGAAGTCTGGTGGGACCAGTGGTATCCAGTCATTTTCCTTCCCAGGCCTCTACCTCCACTGGGCTAAGTTTTCATTTTATCAAGGTTACGACATGGAAACAGGTGCCCAGATTTCTGAGGAATTCAGAACATGGATAGAAAGGGGGGTGTGTCCTGGGAGGCTCCAAGGTGTCAGCTTGTAGAACTGCACAGATAATGCAGTTCACCAAACACAGCGAGAGCTGAGTCTGAAGTCTCTGTGGGGCATCGGAATGCAGCTGTGGGAGGGCGGCTGGACGGTAAGTGGACACAGGCCTGGCTGAGACCACGGGAGAGTGTCCAGACTGAGGGGGAAGAGGGCCCAGGACCAACACTGCAACGTTTAAGGAACAGAGGCCTTGAAGGAGAGGAGCGGTGCAGGCTGCAGGAGGGAGCCCTCCTGAACCAGGGGAAGCAGCCTCTCAGGAGCGTGAGGTCCTGGTCAAGAGTAACGACGGCAGGTGACCGACTGGAGGCAGGGAGGGTTCACTGGCACAGTGGGGGCGGGAGGGCAGCGAAGTGTGGGGAGCAAGGAGCAGCCAAGGCTGGAATGAACACACAGGGAGGAGAGGAAAAGGCGGCCCTGAGATGGCAACACTTCCTTCAGCATGCTTAGATGCGCCTCCTATGGAAGTGGAGGGATTTGAGGATGCAGATGAGGATGGGGAGACCGGGCAAGCCCCCGCGTGAGCAGGCATGGTGCCGGGGCCAGGACCTGCTGGGGCCGGGACGAGGAGGAGTCCCAGCAGGAGGTGGCTGTCCCTCCACCCTGACAGGACAGGGTGAGTGTGAGGGAGTCAGGTTCATCTGGATGTCAAGATGTCGATAGCTCACTTGTCATCTGAGAGTTCCCACTGTCTACCTAGGACAGAGGGTGCGATAACTGCCAAGAGTGTGGGTGGGGATGAGGACCCAACGCGCAGGCTGTGGAGGTGCAGTGAGCTGGGATGCAGGCTGGGAGTGTGCCTCAGACTGGCTCCAGGTAGCAGTACAGAGGGAAGCTACTGAATCCCTCCAGGGCTTTTTTTTTGAGGGCAGGCTGTTAACAGGAGGCCAGGAGGAGGCAGGGTGCTGAAATCCTGATGAAAGACTGGCTAAAATGGTGGACAGACCTTGCCAGCTGGAGGTGAAGGTGGGAGGAGCTGGGTGGGAGAAAGTGGAGGTCCTGGTCAGTCTTGAGTGGGCCAGTTTAGAAATATGGACAGTTGTAGTGAGGTGAGGGCCCCAGGGTGGCCTTGTGGTGAAGGCCCTTGAGAGGTCAAGGATAAGAGAGGACAGGGTGGTGGATGCTTTATTGTCCCAGGGAGAAGGGAGAGGAACCTTAGGAGGCAGGCGCATGAGTCATCCCTAGGTGGAGTCTGATATGAGCTGGGGAAAGTGGAGTTCACCTCAAAGGCACAGGAGATCTTACCAGACGGTGGGACTGAACCAGCCCATCTGGTAGGCACAGAGGGTGTTGACCGCACCTCCTGCCTCTGACACTCACAGAGTGTGGGGGGAACAGGACATTGTGACCCCACAGGAGAACCGAATTTCAGTGTAGGGAGGTGATAAAAGCCACCTGCAGGAAAGAGCTAAGTCCAGCAGGGAATCTGTTGGTCATGGAGGAAGGGTTTACAAGTGTGGTCTTTCAATAAACATTTATTGAACAGCCATTCACGCCAGGTCCTGGGACTGACACAGTCCCTGCCCTCATGGTCTTAGACCCTGGCAGAGGCCCAGTGGAAAAGCATGGGGTAGACAGGTGGGGCCGTGGGAGGTGCACAGGGCAGGAGAAGCTTCCTTTCCTTGAGCAGAGGCCCAGGTGTGTGAGCAGTGGTGACCTGAACATGCCATGTCCTCTTGGCTGAAGGGGATTGGAGTCTCCCTGCCCAGAGTCAATGCAGTCATTCCTTCCTTGGTTTACACCTTGACCAAGAGATATGAATGCCTACTGTGTGTAGGGTCTTTAGGTGTTTGGGCTGGGCTGGGCAGCAGGAGGGAGAGGGGGCAGTGGAAGCAGGACACGAGTGTCGACCACAAGATGACAAGATGGCCAGCACCTGCACAGGGAGGCACTCGGGGCTCTCAGAGGCTTGTCTGAGGGAGGTCCGGGCTGGTGGAGGGCCGTTCTGGGGAGGGGAGAGGTGGGGATGCATTTTGAAGTGCTTCTGGTATGACCTGGATTTGGGGACTTTCCACAGGGGTCCCGTCAGACTCCTGGGGGGAGACTCCTGCCCCAAGAGTCTGGGATGCCTGGCCTTCTGCCCTTCCCCGCGTGAGAGAGGTGTTAAGCTGGGGAGCCACAGAGGGGAGAGGAAAAGCAAATTTGCTGAGCCACTGAGCTACAGGCAAGGACCCCCGGAGGAAGTGGCCAAGAGACCGCCCTACCCTTCTCGCCAGTCGGGGTTGGCGGACGGCCCTTTGGAAGCAAGCGAGACGCTTCTGGGGACTGGCAGGATGGTTGGGAGGCTCTGTGATGGCCAGGGTGGTGGCCTGGACCATGGGAGAAGCACATGTCCATGTGGGAGCGCAATACACTTTGAATGGCAAGCGGAAGACGTGGTGAAGGCGGGTGGCTCTCCGTGTTCTCCGAGATGGGTAGCTGATCCCACGGTGGACGGCAGCACGCTCCTGTTGTCCAGCTGGCTGGCTGGGAGCCTTGGCATCGAGAGTGGCAGCTCCCTTGGTGGGGTTGTGGGGAGTTCGAATTAGGCGGCAGCGTATGCCTCGGGATACATGGAAGGCCCGGCAGGTGTAGGATGCTCCTGGTGCTCTCAGCGGGGGCTGGGCTGGCAGGGAGTGTGGTGCTGTGGTCTCCATGGGCTCCATGCACTTTCCAATACAGAACCTCAGACTGAGGGCTGGAAGCAACTCACGGGCTACCCAGTCCAACCTTTCACTCTGTTCAGATCCCCTTTGCCTCTGGAGAGGTGACTGCCCAGCCGCCATTAACAAACCTCAGGGACAGAAGGGTCATAACCCACAAGCCACTGTTCCATCATAGCAGTTCTTTCTTACCAAGAGTGAACCTTGCTTGTGTGGGCCCTACGGACTGCTGCCCTGTGCCTTTGCACCCTGCACTGGCCCTCACTGGCGTCTACCTCCCCTGTTGAGGACTTAAGAGGACAGAAAGGCTTAGGGAACTCCCCACAAAGGCAATGGCTAGTCCAGAAAAATAGACAGAGCTCTGGAAGGAAGCACTCTATCAGCATTTCAAAAGAGAATATTCCATTACGGAAGGGCCCTCACCTGGAGGGAGGGCTGGAGCAGTCCCAGCCCACAGCTGGCATTAGGAAACTGTCTTCAGGACAGGCAGCTCAGGACTTACTGCCTTGCTAGAAAATACCCTAGGGGCAAGGCAGGTCTGAAAGTCACCTGCTGTGACTGTGTCCCCTGGGACCTGGAATTGGGGGAGGCACGAGTCCCGGGCCAAACTTCTGGGCCACTCACCGAGTTTTCGACATCTGATTCATCTGAGCTGATCACCACAATGCGCTCCTCTGAAACGAGGCGGGGGAGGCAGCATCAGGCCCTGCTGGGAGTGCCCACTCCCCCCCCAACCAGCGCTCCCACAGAAACCCGTGCATTCCAGTGGCCTGGGTGGGTGACATGTGGCCTGCAAGCGAGGGTGTCAACACTGACCGTGTGTGCCTACATGGACTGTCTGACTACGCACACTGCCTTTCCATGACTGCCTGCCGGGCCTTCTGTGAAAACCTCCTTCAGCTGCTGGGCCCAAGGGCGGAATCTGCACCTGGCAGTGCCACCCGACAAGCACCAGCTGGTCCGGGACCTTGTGCAATGCTAGAGAAGCTCACTGGTGTGCCCCGGTTCTCAGCCCTGTGAGCTGAGATGTTCAAGAGACCCTATTATCTAGGTAGAACGTTTTGATTTACCAATAGCATTTGTGAGTGAGAAATAACAGTTAGGCCTGGTGTGTGAGCAGGGTCAGGGCTCAGGCTAGAGCCTAGAATGAGAACAAACCTGGACTGTCACGAACATTCCAGGATTCTATGGGTTGATCTCAAGTCATGCCCAAGGACTCCCTATCTGACAGTGTCCATAAAAGATGTCTAGGACAAATGAGGTCTTTGAAGAAAAATCTGAGAACTGATGGGTGTGGGTGGTACTCAAGTCCTCTCTGGGAGCATGGTAGGCACCCACCAAACAAACATGTCCTGGGGAGACCCACGCTGTGCAGAGGCATGTTGCTGGGTTCTGTAAGAGTGTGCTGGGGAAGGAGCCACGGAAGTGTGGGCTTCAGCCCCTCCTGCTCCCTGCGCTGGAATTCTAGCAAAGCTGCCATTCTCACCACCCAGGCAAAGTGTGGGCTCTCCCTTGCCCCATCTGGTGGCGGCTGAGAGCAGGACTCAGGGAATGCTGTTGGCTTTGGGCTCCCTGGGTAGGGTCAGAAAGCAGAGGAGGGGCCACACCCAACCCCTGGCGGACAGCATGTAGGCCTCAGCCTCTGTGGCCCCAAACCTCCCTACCTGCCTCTTCAGAGTCACCAGTCTCGTGGTTGCTGTTGAGCAGTAATTCCTCATTTCCTGTGGTGCGGCTCTCATGGGTCCCCTCCTGGGCAGGCGGTGAGACTGCCTTGGAGGTGCTGGGCCTGGGCTGCTCGGGGGAGCCCTGGGCCGACCTGGTCTCCTTCTCTTCCTCAGACTCCATCTTGATAACCTTCCTGGGGCACTCGGTCTGGCAGGACTTCCTCTTCTGTGCTGTGGCTGTGGTGGAGACCTCCTATGCATAGAAGAGTCACAGCACCAGGTCAGGAGCCTCCATGGGCCCCAAGGTGATAGGCAGAGACCCAGAACTGCATGGCAGGGGCCGGTGGCCATCCCCTCTGCTCTCTCCCCATAGAAGGCCCTCCCAGGCTGCCATGCACATTGGCCCTGCCTATTAACCACTGGCCTCTGCAGCCTCTGCCTCCCCTGCACGGGCTCGTAGCTTAGAGCAGAGGGGAACTTCCTGACAAGGCAGCCAAGGGCAAGGAAGAGCATAAAGCAGGTGCCCATTTAGATCTGCATTCTCACCCAGCTCTACCTCTTACTGCCTGGTAGAATCTGAGATCTCAGGATGGGAGGCAGAGACTGGGGAGAACTTACCTGCCTGCAGGAGGGGTCCTTGATGGAGTAGGCATACACTGGCACAGGGTATGTCCCAGGCACTGACTGTACCACGGCCACACGCTGAGCGTCAGCCAGCCCCGGGGCCTGCGCCTGAGCGATCTGTGGCCCCTCTGGCTGCAAAGTCAGGAAAGGAGAATCGGAAATGACTGGGCAGCAGGATAAGGGCTGGGAACCCAGGCTCAGGGTCAGCCCAATCCCCAGGGCCTCACTCAGTCACAGGTACAAGCTGCCAGGTCCAAAGCTCAGAGTTCTTAGGGACCAGGCATCTTCCCCACAACCCAGTGGCTTCACCTCATGACCCCGAGGTGCTGGCATCCTGGAACCACTGCCCAACAACTCCTCAGGGCTTGCCCGGCGTCTAGCCTGCACAGCTCCAGGGACAAGTGCCCGCTGCTGTCAGGACCAGCTCCTCTACAGCAGTGAGGCTGTAACCAGAAGGACACCCTCCCACTGAGCTGCAGCTGGCCTCCCTGCGGCCTTCACTCTGCCTGGGTCCAAATGGCCTTTACGCACCTTAGACAAACCACTTAAAGCTCCTGGGGCCTCTCAGTCCCTCTCTGTACGTGGAAATAATCACATTGTCTAACTCACAGGGCAGTGTGGACGAAGTTCAGTACTAGGTAAAATGCTAGGAAGAGCACCTGGCACTTAGCACCCGATGGTGATGACTGTTTTTATTATTGCTCTGCACCAGGTGCAGTGCCGAGTGCTTCATGTACCCATCCCAGAAATGAAGCAAGAACAGTTCTCCAAAAAGTTACAGAATTTTCATGTGATTCAACAATTCTACTCCTAAGTATGTGCCCAAAGGAACAGAAAACAAGATGTTCAAACCCAAACTTGCACATGAATCTTCACAGCAACACGATTCACAACAGCCAAAAATTGTTTAGCAATAAATGTGCGCACCCATCCAGGGGAGTATTATGCAGCCATAAAAAGGACTGACATTCTGATACGCGCGCGCGCACACACACACACACACACACACACACGGATGAGCCTTGAGCACATGGTGCTGAGTGAAACAAGCTGGCCCTGCCCCGGCCTGGAGGCTCAGTTGGTTGGAGCGTCGTCCCTGCACCGAGGGGTCACGGGTGTGATTCCCAGTCAGTGGCTCGTACAGGGAGGCGGCTGAGCAATGCTTCTCTCGCATTGGTGTTTCTCTCCCTCTCCCCCCCCCCCACTTCCTCTCTCTCTAAATCATCAATAAACATATCCTTGGGTGAGGATTTAAAAAAAGCAAAACAAAACCAATACAACCATAGAAAGAGCCAGCCACAAAAAATGCATACCGTATGTTTCCATTTATGTGAAATAACCCAGAATAACTAGATGCAGAGGCAGACGGCAGTCCGGGGGCTGCCGGGGGCGGGGTGGGCATGAAGGAGAGGGGATGCTTCGTGGGCGCAGGGCTGGTTCCCTCGGGGGTAACGGACACATTCCAAACCGGACAGGTGGGGGGGTGGTACCAGACTGGGAGTGTGCCAAATGTCACCGGCTTTGACATTGTAGTATCATTAAAATAGTGCAAGGGAATAGCCCGGTGACCCACTGCGAGAGGACGAGGCCAGGGATCCGCTGTCCTTATCAGGGCAAGACCTGCCCCTCCTGTGTGGGCAAGGACTTGGTCAGGCCACGCCTGGGCTGGGCTAAGCAGGGAAGGCCCAGCGAGACGGGGCTGTGTGCGGGGTGCGGGGCTCCTTTCCGGGTTCAGTGTTCCGAGCTGGGCTGCGGGCTCCCCCACAGTCTGCCATCATGGACTGATTTCCTTCTTCCCTCCTGCATTCCTCGGTTTCTTTTGCTCAACATCTTTATAAAAAGGGAGGAGAGCTGTCCTGGGATCAGAGAATGAAGCCTGTCTGGGGGCAGGGGAGAGAACTAGAACTCTGACTCCGGACAGCGCGGCCCCACTGAGCGCGCCACACCAGTGGTTTTCACACTGCACACACCGGACCCGTTAGAGCGGGAGAGCAACCAAGCGTGTCGTGACCTGCGTTTTTATGTTACAGAGAACAGAAAACATTAGTGTAATCCCATGTAATAAGTATAATTTGTTCTGCAAAACTGCTATTTTAGCTAGAGGCACGTGTGTGTCCATAGGGCATGGGCTAGATGTAAATACTTTTTTTTTTAACAATGAGTGGTGGTCAAAAAAGTTTAAACGACCTATTTTTAAAAAGTATGGGTGGGAATGTGGAAAAAACTGGAAATCTTGTGTACTGTTGGTAAGAATGTAGAATGGTACGTCCGCTGTGGGACACTGGAGGGCGGTTCCTCCACAAACTAAAAACAGAATCACCATATAATCCAGCAACTCCACTTATAGGTAAACTTTATGTTTACATGTATTTTATCACCATTAAAATTTTTTTTCAGTTGAAAAGCTCCTGTTCTATTCTTTCCTGTCTGGCTCTGCGGCTGTGGGTGTGTGGAAGACTTCACCCTGTGGGCAATGAGCTCCCCAAAGACAGGCCTCGGTTTCTCTGCTTCTCTGCCCTGCCTGACACCCACCCCCAATGTTAATGGGGTCGGGGGGGAGGGTGCGTGGAGGCTCCGTAAAGGGAAAAGTACCATGATGGCTGATTTATAGTTGTTTTATAGCTTAAAATTTTTTTTCATTGAAGTACTGAAACATTATTCTACCCTTGTAGAACCCTAGAACAAAGGAGGGAGAATCTCCAAGCTGCCCCCACACCCACAGCAGCCCTGGGGGAGCCCGTGGGCATGTTTCGTCCTCTCCACCTGAGTGCACGGTTGTAATGAAAGTTAACCGATGGTTTCGACCGGGATGAGTGTTGGTCCCAGAAGCCCAGCTCCTGCCATCTAAGGCAGAGACATGGGTCCAGGAGTTGCCTCCCTCTGGGCTGATGGACTTGGCTCTCCTGGGACGGCCAGCCCATGCCTGCTCACTAGAGCTGCCACATCTGTCCTCTGCACTCAGACTGTTACCCACTTCCTTGCCCCCAGCTCCACCACCTCCTGCCCACCCCCCCACTCCCAGCCTGTTACTTAAACACCACAAAAGGCTCTGCAAAAAAAGCACTTTTCTGATATTCCAATTTCAAACGACTTAGTAGTGGGTAGTGAGAGGTCGTCTCAAGATAAGACCCAGCAAAAGACCTAAACTGTACGTGGACTGCATGGGCTTTCTCGTTGTTCATCAACCAATACCTGGCACCCAGACACAGCTGAGATCTGCGGACCCAGGGCACCTTCCGTTCTTATTCATATGATTTCTTTGGGGACAATTTTCATTCTAGTACTGCATGTAATATGAAATCACTTAAATGTGCATCGACTGAGAATTGGCTAAATAAAGCACACTGTAATCACTCAACAGACTACTATGTAGATGCAAAAATGCACCAGGAAGGAATATTTATTGGGTGAACAATCCAACATTATGAATATGTGGTACCATACTACCTAAATGCAAAAAAACAAGAAAAAGCAAATATCTATAATTGCATTTAATTGTAATTGCATAAAGAAATTCTAGAAGGATATGTAATAAGTTAATAGATAGGTGTGTGGGCATGAGAACTGACAGATGAGGAGTGAAGGTGAGAGTGAGCATTTATCTCTACGTTTTTATTTCTAATCATATATTACCGATCCAAAAATTAAAATGCCACTTTTTAACTTTTGAAGCTAGGTATATGGGGATGCAACACCTCACCCAGAAGTTGGCTTCCAGTCTGGTCCCTCGCTCACCCGGTGGCCGCAGGTGAAGCCACACCCTCTCTCTGGACCTCAGCTTCATCCTCTGTAAAGGATGACTCCGTGCTATCTCCTAGTTCTGAAACTCTCAGATCCAGAATCCTGTGTCCTCCAGGAAGCCTTTCCTGGTTCCTCAGCCTTCAGCAACCTCCCACTCCTATGGGCTATGCCGCAGCCAAGCTGGGAAGGCTTGCCACCCTGACTACCCCCATCAGAAGACCTCCTTTCCATGGATGTCTGATCCTTTCTGGGCCCAGACCCTAGACAGGCAGACACATGCAAACCTGGATGAGCAGGATGGGAAGGAGACCAGATGCCGGGTTCCAGAAAGAACTGAAGAAGCTGACCCTGGTGGAGAGTGCCATGCAGGCAAGCTCCCACGAGGGCAAGTCAGAGGTGTGCCATTGCATGTTTACCCAGGGAAACACTAAGTCAGAGCAGTCCAGAGACGGGAGTGACTGCCTCTGAGAATGAATGAGCTTCCTGATCTAGGAGGTACATGGATGAAAGCGGAACTGCAACTGGTCAGGGGCACTGCAGAGGGAATGCCCACACCCTTCCAACCCTGAGAAACTCTGGTTCTTGGATCTGTGCTGGCCCTGAAATCACACCGATAGAACCCAGGCTTCTGGGTGGAGGCCCCACTCTCCATTCCTCTCCAAGAACCATGTGTGAGGGAAGAAGAGGGAAAGGTCCACGTGTTGACCCCAGGGAAAGTCTCAAATATCTGGGGTGGGGTGCAAGGAAGGGCGAGGTCACCAGGGGCACCTATCAGTGACCACCTCCTTCACCTCCTGTCCACCTCCAAGTCTAACTGGTCCTGAATCCACCAAGAGCTCTTGTCCCATCAAGAGCTACTGTGGCATACAGGAACCCAGAGCAAGCCAGCCCCTTCCTTCCTCCCTCCCACTGAAAGCTCCAGTCCAGTCCCTTGCTATCCATTCCTCAGGCACTCTTGCTGCTCTACTGCCTACATACACAGGACAGCAAGACTCGGTTTCCTTTCTGACACGGGCACTCCCAACCTGCCTGACCCGCTGGACTGTACTGCCTCCCCATCGGCCCTCAAACCCATCTCACCAGATTAATGTCAGAAGGCTTCCTGGGAGTGCTGGTAGCCTCTGGGTTGCTTCTCCTGGGGACAGCTGCATCTGGAGAACACAGAGAAAGGTGTAAGCAGGTCAGGGACATCCCTGGTAAGAGGTGCCCTGGCCTGGGACAGTGGCAGAGAGAAAGGGAGTGTCCCTGTTGCTTTTCCTAGAGACCCATTCCCCAGGGTCTCACCCAGCACTGGAGCAGCTCCACAGAGGGGCTGGCAGTTGGAAGAAAAGCCCCCTGACAGCAGCGGCCTGGCCCCACCCAGATGGGAGAAAGGGGCGGGGCATCAGCGCGCCCTTGCCTGTGGCCCCACACAACAAGTGCACCTCTCGCCACCTCTGGGCCAACGCCAAAGCAAAGTGTGAACAATGCTACAGTGTGTTACTGCTCACTGACTTCTCCGCATACAGTGAGAATTCCATGATACTCTTCTGACCCACAGCCTGGTTTTTATTAAGTCTAGCATAACTCTTTCATGCTTTAGATGAAAACATGTAACTCCTTTCTTTGCCACTGCCCAGTTCCAACACCCTAGGCAAGCTGTTTAAAAGTCTGCGGGGTCATTTCCTGTGTATGGGGTAACATCCACTGCCTAGGTAGAGGAGGGACAAGTCCATGCCCACTCTAGGACTGTACTTTTATGAACCCATGTCCATCAGCTCCAAGGGCAGGAGGGAGGAGTCCTCTGCCACTGACACCTGTCTTGGGGCCTTCAGATTCTTAGCCTCCCTCCCCCTTTTCACACCAGCTGTCTAGAGCTCAGATTCCAGCCTGGAGGTTTCATCAAAAAGCCATCAAAGTCTCCTCACCCTGGAGGTCCTCTTGTGCACGCCCACCCCTCGAAAGTCTCTTTTCAGTCCCCCTGGCGTTTCCAGCTCCGTGGAGCTGCTACAACTCCTGAATTTGGACTGCAGAGCCAAGCACTGTCTCTTTCTCCAGCTACGTGATAGGCCCCCACTTTGCCTTCCCGTTGGAGGGGAGAACTTGAGGTGAGGGACTGGAGGGTGGTTCCCCACCTCCCAAGTGCTCAGTACCAGGCAAGGCCCACACGGCGGCACACATGGCGGGCCACTCTAGGGACAAATGATCTTCTTCACTGAGCCACTGTAAACTTCTGGGAAAGCACCCTAGCACCCCAGGGGGTTTTGTCAGCCCCGTTCTGTACTAACTTCATTTTCTAGTTCACTTTTCTGTTGCTAAATATAGGTAGATGGCTTAAGAGAACTTCCTGGAGTCGTTGGTTCTTCTGGGGCTAAGATGGCATCGGTCTAGTTCTCAGCTTTGTAGCTCCTTAACTTCCCCAAGGGTTGCAAGATCACAGCTAATCCACAGGGTCTTGTAAATTATTGGGTTGGCCAAAAAGTACATTTAGTTTTTTTTTCCCCAAAAGATGCATTTTTCATTTTCACCAATAACTTCATTGATTTGGATATTTTAAGCATGTTGGCTGTCTCCCGCTATTGGCTTCTAGTGGGTAGAGGCCTGGATGCTGCCAAACATCTTTCCATGCATAAGACAGCCCCAGAGCAAAGAATCATTTGGTCAAGAAACTTTATAAACCACTTTTGACAGGTTTGATCAATCACAGAACCTTCTCCATACACTGCACAAATCTTTGTGTGTTTCAATTGTTTTTACTTTTTGTGAAATTTTAATAAAGCATAACATGCCAAAAATGTTGCATATTTTCTTCTATCTTCAATATTAAAATTGCTACACAAAAATTCACAAATTTTGATTTTCTTTGAAATGCATGCTGCTACAACAACTGTTACAATACTATCTAACAAAATTGTTTCAAATGAAGTGAAAGACGAGGAAGCACTACTAGCGCCATTGTACAGAAAACAACAAACGAACTTTTTGGCCAGTCCAAAAGTAGAACATGACCCCTCTGGGTGGCTGCAGCCCCATGTCAGGGCCTCCTTTCCCCCTTATCCTGCACATATTGGAACCTATGATGTGATCGCACCAAAGAGACAATTTTTAAAGCCCCGTTTCCTTTTCTGTCATAAGGAAATGGTATTTTCGCCCCCACCTTCCTCAGAGAGCTGCAGCAAGGCGCAACTCTTAAATGGTGAACAGACCACCCATGCGGGTTGCTCACCTGTGCCCTGGATGATGCAAGAGACAAGGTCCTGCACGCGCACCTTGAAGTCGTTGAAGCTGTCAACGTGCACTGTAGCTTTCAGGCTCTGGGGCTCCTCCCTGCGCAGTGCGTCCAGTGCATTGCGAAGGAAACTGTGCATGTCCAGCACCTCCTGGTCCGAGGCGTAGCGCTTCATCCTCTGCACCAGCACGCTGCCTGTGCGGATGCGCTGCAGTACAGTGTCCAGACGGCTTACCTGGACCTTAATCTTCTCGGACTCACGCTGGAACCGCGTCTTCACCGCCTCCAGCAGCTGGTTCATACCTGCGCGGATCACCTCCTCTGTGTCAGTGCGCATGTTCTCCAGCTGGCTCATGGTTGAACGCATCTGCTCCAGCGCCGAGCCGAAGACGTGGTCCTGCTTCTGCAACACTTGGGTCATGGAGTCCAGCTCTTCCTGCCTCTGGCGGATCTCCTCAGTGATGTCACACTTGAGCTGGCCGTGACTGCTGTCCAGGAGGGCACACGTGCAGCACAGTGGCCTGGCGCACCCTCGGCAGTAGATGCTGCAGACATACAGGGCAGGCCTGAGTTAGGGTTCTCCTGCCTTTTCCCCTTTAAGTTTTTATGAACATCCTCCTAAATAACTGTAAAACTTTGATTCATGGTATGTGTCCAGGTTTGTGCTTTCTCCAGTTCAGTGTTTGTCGTTATGGTGACAGCATCCAAACTAACAGTAAATCATTAGAATATTAAAAAGCTACTGAAGAAACAATGGCTACCCTCCAGCCATGAAACACTGCAAAGATTTTTTTTTTTAAATCAGTCATCTCTTCCCACCACTTCTGAATTTCCTTTCTCCACATCTGCGGTAACCCAGTGACCATCCTTCTTCCACACCCCTCTCCACACAAAGCACCCTCCACAAACACCCAGACTAGGCAGCTGCTTACAGGATCCTAAGGACCTGACACACTTTGTCCTCCCTAGAGCTGGTGAGGGGCGAGTGGCTGTTATCCTCATTTCACAGAAGAAGAGGTTTAAAAATTGGCTCAAGTAAATACAGCAATTTGGTGGTTGATGCTTGTACTTTAATAAAAACCGAGATCATGCTACACCATTACTTTGTAATCCTCCTCTAACTTAACCTTCATTCAGGACATTGTCATACGCCTTTTAAGTATGGAGGTAATGTGTTTTCTTTAATAGCCCATTGTATTACACATGGACCACAACCAATTCAGGCCTTCTCCTGTTAATAGACATTACCGTGATTTCCTCTTTATGCAATTTTTCTCTTTTTTCTTCTTTCTGTTCCTTTTTTGGCCAATATGGACAATGCTTTATGTAGCCAAAGGCATAGATGCTTTTGCTTCTATGAACTACATTACAAAAAGTAAAGTATTGCCAGATCAAAGAATGTGTACCTTTTTACTTAATAGATTTCAGCTAACAATTTCATAGCATTTACTATGTTAGACACTATCATAAACATGACAAACATTAACTCATTGAATCCTCTCCAAAATCCTGTGGAGCAGAAACTCTTATGCCCATTTTAAGGATGGGGAAACTGGACTTCTGGCCAAGACGGAGGTGTAGGTGGAAATACCGTACCTCCTCGCACAACCAAATTTAAGGATAACGAAGATTTAGAAACAAAAACACAACCAAAAGAGACAGAAAATTGAACTGTACCCGAAGTCCGACAACAATGAACCATTCATCCAGACCCGTAAGAGGGGCGGAGTTGGCGGCGGAAGGAGAGCAGTTGTGGCAGGAAAAAGTGGTGGTTACCGGACCCGGTGGGCGGGGGATGAAAACCCAGTGAGGCTGGAAAGGCTGCTGGCGGACCTCGGACACACATTCGCGAGCAGATAAACCAGGCGGGTTGAAAAACAGTGAGACAGACCTCGCAACCCAGGGCCCCAGCAATAGGAAATAAAGCCTAAAAGCACCGATTGGAAAAGCTTTCAGGGGTTGAGGTGCCGGGAGAGGCTCCCAGCCTCACAGGAGAGTTTGCTGGAGAGACCCACAGGGTCCTAGGATGTACACAGGCCTACACACCCGGGAACCATCACCAGAAGGGCCCAATTTGCTTGTGGGAAGTGGCAGAGCGGACCAAAATCCAAGAGAGAGCGGAACAAACCCCTTTGTTCCCTCTCTGATCCTGCCCCCAGTCACAACTCAGCGACTGGGTAGACCCGCCCTGGTGAACACATACACCTCCACCCCTCATACATAACAGGTGAGACCAGACCAAAACATTATGGCTCAAGTAGAAGAACAGTTCAAAGCCCCAGAGCCAATACTTCTAAGCGACAAAGAGATAGCCAACCTATCAGATGCACAGTTCAAAACACTGCTGATCAGGATCCTCACAGAACTGGTTGATTTTAATTGCAAATTAGATGAAAAAATGAAGGCCACACTAAGTGAAATGAAGCAAAATGCACAGGGAACCAGTAGTGATGGAAACAAAACTGGGACTCAAATCAAGGGAGTGGACCAGAAGGAAGAAAGAAACAACCAACCAGAAAAGAATGAAAAAACAAGATTCAAAAAAATGAGGAGAGGCTTAGGAACCTCCAGGACATCTTTAAACGTCCCAACATCCAAATTATAGGAGTACCAGAAAGGGAAGAGGAAGAGAAACAAGTTAAAAAGTTTTTGAATAAATAATATAGGAGAACTTCCCCAGTCTGGCAAAGGAAATAGACTTCTAAGAAATCCAGGAAGCTCAGAGAGTCCCAAAGAAGTTGGACCCAAGGAGGAACACACCAAGTATGTCATAATTACATTAGCCAAGAATAAAATGAAGGAGAGAATCCTAGAAGTAGCAAGAGCTAAGGGGACTGTCATCTACAAAGGAGTTCCCATCAGACTGTCAGCTGATTTCTCAGAAGGGACCTTACAGGCAAGAAGAGGCTGGAAAGAAGTATTCCAAGTCATGAAATCCAGAGACCTACATCCAAGATTGATCTATCCAGCAAAGCTTTCATTTAGAATGGAAGGGCAGATAAAGCGCTTCTCAGATAAGATCAAGTTAAAAGAGTTCATCATCACTAAGCCCTTATTATATGAAGTGTTAAAGAGACTTATCTAAGAAAAAGATTAAAACATGAACAGTGAAAGGATAGCAAACTCACAGTTATTAAGAACCACACCTAAAACAAAAGCAAACTAAGAGGACAGCTAGATCAGGAGCAGAACCATAGAAATGAAGATCACATGGAGGGTTATCAACAGGGGAGTGGGAGGAGGAGAAGGGGGGAGAAGGTACAGAGAAAAAGTAGCATAGATGGTAGGTAGAAAATAGACAGGGGGAGGGCAAGAATAGTATGGGACATATAGAAGCTAAAGAACTTGTGACACATGGATATGAATTAAAGGGGGGAAATGTGGGGGGGGAGGCAGTATGCAGGGTGGAGGGGAATGAAGGGGGGAAATGGGACAACTTTAATGGCATAATCAATAAAATATATTTTTAAAAAAAGGATGGGGGAAACTGAACAAGAGGTCAAACAACCTGTCCAAGGCCACACAATTAAGTAAGTGTTAAGAGTCCAGATGCAAACTGTAGTAGACAGAATAACGGCCTCCATCCATCTACTTATTCCCAGAACCTGTGAATATGTCAGCTTATTAAAAGGGTTTTGTAGGAGTGATTTACATTAAGGACTTTTTAAAAATATATTTTATTGATTGTGCTATTACAGTTGTCCCATCCCCCCCTCATACATTCAGTATCTTGAGATGGGGAGATCATCCTGGATTATCTGGAGGGACCTAATGTGATCACAGGGGCTCTACAGAGGAAAGGGGGGAAAGCAAGAGAGTGAAAAGGAGAAGTGATAACGGAACAGAAGTCGGAGTGACACTATCCTGCTGGTTTTGAAGATGGAAGGAGGCCATGAACCAAGGAATGCAGGCAGCCTCTAGAAGCTGGAAAATGCAAGAAAATCAATTTTCTCCACGAGCCTTTAGAAGGGAAGACAGCCCTGCTGACATCTTGATTTTATCTCAATGAGACCCAGTTCAGACTTCTGATCTCCAGAGCTGCACAGTAATGAATTTGTATTGTTTTAAGCACCCAAGTTTGTGGTGATTTGTTACAACAGCAATAGCAAACTAATATAAAAACACAGGCCATCTGGCTCAGAGTTCATGCTCTTAACCATTGCAACGTTGCTTCAAATATTACTAGGGAAAACAGTGTTAGTTACTGTCTCAGAAATACTGTTATAATTTACTCTCACCAACAATAATACATCGGCCCGAGTAAGGCCAGGAGAAAGGCTCTCCACTGACTACTCGAACTTCAATGACTATGATTAACTTGTCTTGGAACTGCAAGCAGAGAGCCTGAGAGCCAACCTGACTCAAAAGTCAGAGCACTAGACACAGGTCCTCAGCTTTGCTGGCTCTCAACCTTCCCAAGTCACCCGAGAAGTTAAGGTCTCAAGGCTTGATTCTTCTGATCCAGGAGACTTACTCCAGGGTAGCCGAGACCTCATGGAGAGCTCAGAGTGGGAACAGGGACTGGGGGTTGGCACTGGGTCCTGAGCAGGCAGCCGCTCCAGCCTTTGGGCATCTGATCTGAGGAACAGAGACCCATTACCTAGAGACAGGGGCCAGTGACTGCGGTAAGTGGCAGCTGGAACAGAGAAAAGAGCCCGGCAGAGGTGGATGTGCCTCAGCTCCGTGCCCTTGGCAGATCACCTAACCTCGATGCACCTCAGTCTTCTTTGTAAAACTGGGAAATTTCCCATCCCGTATGGGAGTGCTGTAGAGAATCATATCAGAGAAGTCCTCTGTTCTTAACAGAGACTGACTATTATAACTGAATGAAATCCTAGTGCTCACCAGCATCACTATTAAGGAGAAATACTAAGCAATTATGAAAAGAACTAATAACTTTAAGACAGAGGGCAATTAGGTAATATCCATCAAAATCACAAATATAGCCCTGGCTGGAGTGGCTCAGTAGATTTGGGACTGACAACCAGAAAGTCACTGGTTTGATTTCCAGTCAGGGTACATGCCTTGGTTGCGCAGGCCAGCTCCTCAGCTGGGGGTGTGTGAGAGGCAATTGATCGATGTATCTCTCATGCATCAATGTCTCCCTCTTTCTCCTTCCCTTTCCCTCGCTCTAAAAATAAATAAAATCTTTAAAAAAACCCACAAATGTATTTATTCTTTGACCCAGCAATCTCTCTTCTAGGTACCTATTCTGTTGCTCTGTCTGCACATGTAGGAAATGATAATCTGTATAATTCAACACGGCCCATGATAGTACAAAACAGAAACAACCTAGTGGTGAATATACAACACAGTGTACAAATGATGCGTTATGGAATTGCGCACCTGAAACCTGCATAGTTCTGTTAACCAGTGTCACCCCCAGTGAACTCAATAAAGGGGGAAAAAAACCCCTAAGTGCCCATCACTAGCAATGAGTTACATCAATTATGATGTACCCATATAATGAAGTACTAAGAAGCTGTACTTCGTTGTATTAAGGAAGTTCTTTTTTAAAAAATATTTTTAAATATTTTATTTATTT